TTTTGAACGTATTCACATTACTAAACAACATATTCTCTTAGTAATTTTCATAAAATAGCATCATCCACACATCCACACAATAGTTGTTCATCCATATTATAATTATGTATATGAACTTGTTGATAAATACATATTAACATTTTATGATCTATTTTATGTTAATTTGTTCAATATTACATTACAAAAACATGTTATCGTGAATTCCATTGGGTAATCCCAAACTTAGCAGAATAAGTTCATATATCAAAATAACCATATAAGTATTTAGAAAAAGTAGTTCATACGAACTGGCAACTAGATTTCGTAGGGTTAGTGGTCCTTTTCTTAAAAGCCAGAAAAACTATATTTATCTTAAAATATGAAATGATCTTTTATGGTGTTTTAGTGAATAGATATTTAATAAATAACCCAAATGAAATATGCCAGTTATAAGATGTGTTTGATGATTAGGATTGTACTCCATCATTATAAATAAAAAGGTTAGGGCCTCTATGCATCATATACAAATGGGGAAGGTGGTTAAAATAAGTTGGTGTACTTTTTTATGTTGTTTTATTGACTTGATCAATCGTACATAACGTGTTGGAACTTGTAAATAATGCATTACAACTTGTTCATCTGGATTGTATTTTCCAAGTGTAGAAATAGGTGTTTAGCATTACATCGGGTGAGTTTATTATCTAATCCTGTTTCTTTTTAAAGAGAACTTGAGAGAGTAACCAATCAATCAGCTCCAACTTACCTATGTAAATAGCCATTTTAAGGCCTACCACTCCTCCCCCAATCACACTCTACTTCCAGATACCCTCTACAAGTTCTCTCTCTCTCTCTCTCTTCTCTCTCTCTCTCTCAAGAACACCAATCTGGGGTTTGCTTCTCTAGTAACTTCTTTTTCTTTCTTGATATATATCTCCTTATAGAAATACCCATATTTAGCAACAAAGTTTCCACCTTTTTTGCTCTCTTGCAACCTTCAGAGACTTTGCTTTTCACTTCACGAAATTGATTAAGCTTATCAGATTTTGTTATTGATGGATCTTGATCTGCGTAATTAATACGGGCTCCTTTTCTTGAAATATTAGGTCGATTTCAAGAACCCAAAGATGGTGAGAGGAAAGACCCAGATGAGGAGGATAGAAAACGCTACAAGTAGGCAAGTGACTTTCTCCAAAAGGAGAAATGGTCTATTGAAGAAAGCTTTTGAGCTTTCTGTGCTTTGTGATGCTGAAGTTGCTTTGATTATCTTCTCTCCAAGAGGCAAGCTCTGTGAATTCGCAAGCTCAAGGTGTCATCTTTTTCGCTTATTTCTGATTCTTGATTGATTTAATTAAAATTTTCTTTCTGATTTCTTTCATGTATATATATACCTATACATACACATACGTATAATATACACAGATATATGTGGTATATATGTATATATGTTTTATATGTGTTGTTTTAACATCTTTATAGTATAGGTGTAGGTTATAATAACCTTAGGGTTTCTCTCTTCTTCCCCTCCTCTAACTCACACTAGAATAACACAGAAACACATACATATTTAGATCTAAAACGTGGTTCAATTTATCACTTTTAGGGTTACGAATAGGAATCTTTATGGTGTAAACATATTGGAGTTCGTCGTTAAACTTAACGTGAACAGTTAATAATATTTTAAGATCAGTTAGGGCGAAAGACACTGTATATAGTCGACCCCCATTTCTCTCTCTATCTTTCCTTCACTGCAATTAAATCTTGTTCAAAGGGTTTTTAATTCGAATCCACTCCGACTAAAACTTCTTTTGAGAAGCTATTTTGGAATTAAAATGGTTTTTTTTTAGATATTAGTCAATAAATTATTAAAAACATCTGACAAATTTTCACTTGTTCCTTGTTGGGATTCTTGTTTTTTCATGACATTTTGCGGATGACTCAATTAAGAAAGATCTACAACTACTATTTGCCAGGCATGTTTCAATCAGATTATAACATGAGGTGGTTTGTTTCATATATTCCAACTTCTTTTCAACGCAGAAAGTGATCAGCTTTTGCTTTTCTTCTGATTTTTACCATTGAAAGAATCAACTTCTAAATATATATGATTATAGTACAACATATATTATATTGTTAATTAATGTACTAACTAAGTTAGATCTAAAATATTATTAAATTGCATGTTAACTTAAGATTAACAACTTTAAATTGTTAAATTCTTCTTGCACCAAATCAAATATTTCATAATTAATTATATCATAGTAGCAAAATAATGAAATTTAGCTTGAAATTTAACAAATAAAAGACACTTCAGTTGATCCAGACTAGTAATTTTTTTTTTTTATAGAAACAAAATGGATATTTTTCTCTGTTGAAGCAATTCCTCTCACAGTTTGAAGATGAATTAATTACAGATATCTTCCAACATAAAATAGATGCATTTGTAGATCTATAATGTGCCAATTTTAAAAGACACTTGAGTTGACTAAGTTGTATTTTTTTTACAATTTGATTATAAATGTGCTTGTTCTTTAACAAAATTCTAGCTATGAATTGCATTGTTATTGTAAAATTACAATCGCTATATATTTATCAAGCAATTTGTGAAATATAACAACGTTTTCTCCATCAAATTGCTTTTCTCCTTTTATCCTCAATTGACCATTAATTTACAATTAATTACTTTATTCTAATTGATATAAATAAAACTGAACAAAGTCGTCAAGTTTCATATAAATCTTAGCATGAAATAACATTATTTTTCCAAAAATAGAGGTCGTAAGCAAGAGATTAGGTCTTAGTAATAACGATAATAGTTAGTCACTAACGTGCAGACCATTCCACCCATACTGATACAATCATACAACATAGAATCATAGATGATGGGTGTTAATTAGAACTATATGGCAATATTCACCTATTAATGTATGGTTTAACTAAATTAATTATGTTACTAGAACTTAAATGTTCAAATATGACTTGCTAATAATAAAAGTTGTACTTAAATCAATGTATTCTATGGTCAATCGATGAGTTTCTATCGAGTAATTAAAATTTGACCTTAACAATGAACTCTTTTGTCACCCTTTAAGTCGTTACTTACATAACCTTCAATAAGTGATGTAACACTATATGTATCTATATCTACGACATAATTTTAATATATTTCCCATCTATTTGTTAATAATAGAGAAAATGTTGTCATTAACATCTAATGTTCGTGTTTGTAATTTTTTCAGCATGGATGACACTATCGAACGTTACAGGAATCACCTAAAAGAAGTTCAAACTGAGAATTCTTCGAGTGTAGAAGATGCTCAGGTTCAAATCTGTCTCCATAGACATGTCTTCTTTCCTATGCATCGTGTTCTTGGTCTTTCAACCCTAAACCCTTAAATTCTGTCACAAAATTAAAATTCAGTCACATGCTATGAACTTTTTGAACAAAATTGGATTGAAAATGTTGTTTTGCTTTGAATTAAATCGACTATAACTTCGAAAACAACAATGTTTTTAAAATTCCAAAGTCATAGTGGACTTTTTGGAAGTGTTACTTATTGTCCTCAATTGTGTTCAGTGGCAACATTTGAAGAATGAAACAGAAAGTATGGCAAAGAAGATAGAACTCCTGGAAATAACTAAAAGGTTAGAATTTCATGTTCTGAATATGTTAATTGAACTTTAAATCGCCACACATGTAGTTATGAAACTAAGAGTAATTGTTGGTTCCAAATTAAAACTTTATTACAGGAAACTTTTGGGAGAAGGTCTGGGATCAAGCACAATTGACGAACTACAAAAGCTTGAACAACAGCTAGAGAGGAGTGTATCCATAATTCGTGCTCGAAAGGTTGACTTTTATCACACAAAAGAATAAGAAGTTGACTCTCAAAAACTGATTTTGTTTCAACTGAGCTTGAAATTCTTTTATTTATTTTGACTTTAATTGTTGGTGTTTCAGATGCAAGTATATAATGAACAAATTCAGGAACTACAAGCAAAGGTAAAATTACATAAATACGAGTTGATTATTTACTTTTAGTAAAATTACACTTTCATAAATCACAATTCTATATTTTCGTTTTCTTTCACCTTATTAAGTTCTTCTAAACCTATTTGCATCATTTTAACTCATCTAATAATTAGCAAGACATCCCACACACATATAAATTATATTTCTAGAACTCTCATCATATATACCATTTACTTCTAAAAAAATTTCAGGAGCGATTGTTAGCTTCTCAAAATGCAATGCTAAGTTCAAAGGTAAGCTTAATTATTCTATTCGTGACTCTTTATGGAAGGTCAATTAAGCATCTCAACCACTAAGATCCTAAGGGGCTATTATTATGTGATTTATAGTAATATTTATACTGCTTAATTAAAAAAAACATGCTAAATTAATAAATTATAGATGAAAAATGAAAACAACATAAATGATAAATGAACTCGAATCTCTCTTTCAGCGTCTAGTCCAAACTCAGGAAAAGATTGATGAACAACGAGCCATGTTGCAAATGATTGAATGTGGAGAAAGTTCCGATGTTGAAACAGAATTGTTTATTGGATTACCCGAAAAAAGGATGAAGATTGATAGACAAAAATGATGGTTAAAATATGCGTAAAGCAACACATTTATATATCTGTAATGATGTTATTTGTGTTTGGTATGAAAAATCTATGTTAATTTTGCCGTTGACTTGCGAGAAAATGTTCATGGAGAACCGAATGGAATTTTGGTTCTTGTACATATGAACACATAATGTTGATCGCATCATTGATCTTTCATGTTGTCTTAGTTGGTTGCATCCTTTGATGGATTTTATGATATACAATGACTTTGGCATCATGTTCTTTATTAATCCTTTTTCTACAAATATTTCTCTAAATTATAAATCTCATTTTGATTGCTGAAAATTGTTATGTTTACGATTGACACACACATGTACGCATTAGTCTCCACAAGTGAGTAAGAAATATATAAAGAGAATATAAGCATAGTTAAAGGAAAGTAACAAATTAAATCCTCATTTACTTCATGTACGTTACATATACAATAATTACATAGACAAAAGTAAGAAAAATAATGAGACAAATTTCTGTTTTTTGTTCATGTTTTTTCTCTTAAGCATATTCTACCTTGTAGAAGACAGTTTAATAACCACTTCTTCTAATTTCAAACCAAAAAAAAATGACACACGAGTTATTTAGATTCTGATTCCTCCAACTTCTTATGAACAGCTTCCTTCGAAGGCAATGATGGAATTGCTCCTCTCTCTGTAACTGTAATGGCCCCACAAACATTTGCAAACCTCAATGCATCTCTCAGCTTCTTTTCATCCTAAAATGGGGCATGACATAAATCTTTTAAAAATCAATATATTCAGAAAATAATTTTTTTCTTTTTCAGCCAGTTTTTTAAAAATGTTTAACCTTGAATAATTGAGTATTTGAAGCCAAATTGAGAAGGAGTCCTCCAACAAAAGCATCACCTGCACCCGTTGTATCAACACACTTCACCTTAACACCACCAACTTTCCCATGAAAATCCTAAAAAATAAGCATACAAATTAATATAATGATTTTAATTAAGATAATCCAACAATGGAAAATCATGTTAATAAATTGACAAAAATAACCTTGGTGTAGTATCTACAGCCATTAGGGCCTTCAGTGACAATCAACAACTTAAGATTTGGGTGAAAAAGCTTGGTCAAGACAACTTTGTCATCATAGGGATCATCACCTCCAGTCAAGAACTCAATTTCATCTTCACTAATCTATAATTTCCCAAAAATTCAAAAACCCATTAAAGTTTTAAGTCAAAAAAAGTCAACCCACTATAAAAATTTTGCACCTTGATAACATCTGCTTCATCCCAAATGCTCATGATGCCTTTTCGAGCAGCTTCAGGCGATGGCCATAAAGGTAGTCTCAAATTAGGATCATATGAAAGAATGCATCCTGCTTTTTAGCGATTTTCATTGCAGCTAAGTGAGCTGATTTGCATGGATCTTCAATCAAACTAATGGATCCGTAGTGAAAGATTGTTGACTGGTCAAAGAACAAAAATCGGCCACAATTTAATCTTTCAAAACATGTAGCCATAAAAAATGGATGACGAAATGATGATTGAATGTACCTTTTTGATCAAATCTGTATCAAGTTCTGCCTCTGTGAGAAGCATATCGGCACTTGGATGGCGGAAGAACATGAACTCACGTTCTCCATCGGCTCTTAGGGTTACAAATGCTAATGCGGTTCTTGCTTGTTTGTCAAATCTCATTCCTGTGTTATCGACATTGTTTTCTTTAAGGATGTTAGCCAACATGTGACCAAATTCATCGTCCCCCAACCTTCCCAAGAAAACCTGCAGATCCTCCCAATTTTGATACACAAACTGCAACATTCGCCGGAGCGCCGCCGGGAGCTTTCTTGAATCCCGGAGCCTCCGCCAGTGAAACACCGGAGACTGTGGGCACAAAATCGATCAAAAGTTCTCCGAAACACACCACCTGTGGATTCTTTTTTCTTTTGCTTCCATCCTCCGAACCTACATTGTTGGAATTCAACAACGCAATTGATTATGATAGGCAAAGAGAATAGTGGATTGGGAAATTTGGGATGACTTACTTGAGCTCACTAATAAATCTTTAGCGCTCTTTACACGCTTGAAGTCACCCATTGCGGATCGATTGGAGATGGTTGGAAGACAATAGCCCGTTTTGTTGCTGCTGGAAGATTTAGTGTTCGTTTGATCCATTTTTACAGAGAGATTAATGGGAAGGAGAATAATCGATTAAGAATTATGTTAATGTGGTTTGTTTTCGTGGTTGTATGTGCTGTCGATTTCGAAAGTGGTGAAGAACCCATAAAAATTTTACTCCCAAATTCCAAAAAGGACAAATGAAATTGTTGGGGTTTGTTGATTCTCTGATTCCTGTTATGGTGGAATAGGTAGAGGATGGTTGATAAATTGTCCATAATCAACCGATGGTCCCAATTTAACCACTAAATATAGTGATATCCAACTAAATCAATCAATCCATTCCACCTTAATCAAATTCCGTTTTGTACGCTCGATCTTCGTGGCCTCCATCATCGTCGGCTGGTGGAAGATCCCTCCAATCCACCGCCTCTAGTTAAAGGGTTCAACTAGTCTATCATATATGGGGCATTGTTTTGTAGGGAATGTATTTTGGGTTTCAACTTGCTTCATTGAGTATATGCATCATCATCAACGATTTTATTGAGTTTCGTTACAAGTCAAGGTGTGGAATTTGCCGAAAAATAAGTTGTTTGAAACTAATAAATGAAAAACAAAGAACAATGCAATGCTTAACACCATAAACTGGAACCAAAAGGCAAAACAAACATTTTTATGATTGTTCATAAACTTGTATTAAGTTCGGGATGCCTCTTATCTCCAATGTTTTAAAAACCAGATTTTTAGTTGAATCGGTATGGTTACCAGTTTCCAGTTTAACCGGTTCGACCGCTTAGTAAACTGGTTTCTATAATTTTCATATTTTTTCGTATTTTCATTGACATACATGCATACACAAATCAAGAAGTTCATGTCCACAAGTTCAAACATTAAAATACATATAAACACAAGTTGTAGATCAATCTAAATACATTAAAATAACTCATAATCATAAGTTTTATATCAATCCTTGAGCATTAAAAAGAAAATATAGTCATAGATGAAGAAAAACACATAAAAAAAACTTCATAACATTTATCATATGTTTTTATTCAGAAAAATTTTAATAAATGTGAAAAAACTATCAAAGTTTATTATGCAAAATGTTTCAATTTAATGTTTTTTTATTCAATTTAACTGGTTCAACCGGTTTAATTGAACTGATTCAACCGAATTTTTGTAAAAACCAGTCGGTTCGATCCGGTTCAGAAATAGATATAAATCCGGTGATAGTTGAACCGCTTCCTTCCCCGATTCCCGGTCCAACCGGTTCAACCGACCGGTTAAAACCGGTTTTTAAAACACTGCTTATCTCTGATATAAATGATTCTATTAATAAGCTTGTGCATGAGTTCGTAAGAAATTATAAGATTCATGTAAAATTTGCAACCGACATTATTTTCCTAGGCGTGTCGAAAATAGCCGAAACCCGAAAATTCGGGTAATCAGTGAACCCGATATTTAATTAGTTCAGGTATCGGGTAGGCATAAAAAAATTCAGATATACCAGAATACCTGATCTTTTTTGAAAAAAAAATAAATAAATAATGCACTGAAAGGCGGATCTAAGTACAACCGAGTGTACTTAAACCAGGTAGGTTAAAATTTGTGGTTAATTATGTTTCTTAATACACATAACCCAAATCATATTTGTGGTTAGTTAGTTGCCATTAGTGTTTATAATTTACTAACTAGTTGTGAGACATGGGTTAATTTAAAAATAAAAAAATAAAAAAAATTAAAAAAAATAAAAAAAGTTAAAATATTTGAAAACTTTGAATTTATAAGAAAATAAGAAAAATTATGAATTATTATAATTAAAATGTTTTTTTATCTTTTAAATTTAAATAAATAATTTAAATAAATAAACAGAATAAATTAATGAACTTTAATTTGGAAATTTTGAAATTAAAAGGTAAGTACATTAATGAAATTTATATCAATTTATTACTACATTTATTTCAATTATAGTAAAATATTATGTTGAATTTGACAAAATAGAAAAACTTATAAAATGATATGTGGAAAAAAATTAATTCAAAATAACCACAAAATAATATTTGACAAATTGAATGAGAATATGACATGACAAAAAAAACCTTCATTTTTTAGAGTAGATTAAGTAATTATGGTCGTTAGAGCCAAGTTAATGTACGGAGAAGAATTTCGGTACCACGTTAAGGTTACATGTAGTGGACTAGTTGTATGAGATGGTCAAATATGTGATGCCCATTTGAATACAACGTATTTTTATTCTAATTTATTTAATTCAATGACTTTTATTTAGGGATGAGCAAAAGGACCGAACCGGTCGGAACCGGACCCTACCCAGGAACCGGCTTCGGTCAAAATCAAGAATCGAACCGGCCCGACGGTTCTATCGGTTCCGGTTCTACCGGTTCTCGGTTCCTACCGGTTCTTGTCGTGTCTTCAAATGTTGGAACCGGTCCTTGAAAAATAGCATCATACAATTCCGGTTTTTGTCGGTTCTACCGGTTCCGGTTATATCGGTTCCGGTTCCTATCGGTTTCCGGTTCCAAAAATCCACAAAAATAACACCCCGGTCCCGGCCCGACCGGTTCCATTGGGTTCCGGTTCCGGTTCCGGCCGGTTCCCCGGTCCATATGCTCATCCCTACTTTTATTCTAAGATAATTTACACATATGATTTTGTATTAACATTTAATAGATAACTAGGAGGTGAACACCCAGGACGGTTTCTTTTTATTTTGCATACCTTAAGTAAAAAACTTACTTGATGATAAAATGATGTAAAGTGTTCGGCAAGTAGAATTGAAAGTTCTTGTAGACTTTTGTTTATAACATTCATTTGCTTTCACAAATCCTTGGATTCCAATAACCAATAGAATCTTCAAATTCCATACATCAAATCAAATAAAGAGACAATGCTCCAAGAGATATCCACACTTTTATAACATACAAGAAATATAACCATGACCAAAAAAAAATGAAAATTAAATAAAAAAAGATTTGATATTAAATAATAACATAGATAGAATCGAACATATCTTATGTCTACTTCGACTTGTGAGTCTAAACCTAACTTAGGTGTGAACCTGACATAAGTAGTTGCACCTCCATTTATGTTGACAATAAGAACTCAAATGGCAACTTCGTATGTTCACATAATGAACACAATAAATGGTAGCAGTAGTTATAGTATGCTTGTTTATGTATAAATAAGAGCTCTAACTTAAGTTGTAGAGCACCACAAAACAGAGAGTGATAGTGAAATACTTAGAGTGAGTATTTGTAATAGAAGGTTGTTTTCCTTTCTTGTAATATTGAGCTAGTAAGCTCATCCATTTGTTCTAGTTCTGAATAAAAGTGTGTTTAAACCCCCAACAAATGGTATCAGAGCTTGGTTAAGCTCTGGGGAAGCATTCTCTGTTTTTTTGGTCGAAATTTTTTTGTCTCAAAGTTTTTTTTTTGGAGTACACTATTGCAAAGGTCTCGTTCCGAGGATTCTGGGAATATATTTTTTTGGATTTTTCGACCACTGGAAGGCCTCCAAATCACTGGTCAAAGTTGGTCAAACTTGCCGAAAAACACGTCGGAAAAACCAGTTTATCGGTGGTTCGCCGGAGAAGAAGGGTGACGTCATCAGTTACTATAGCAAAATTGTAGAAGTGACGTCAGCAGCTGACTGAAGTTTTGAAAAATTGCAGTTTAGCCCCTGTTTTTCCGAAAAGTGCAATTTAGTCCCTGTTTGTCAGAAAATTGCAATTTTTATCCTGTTTTTTCAGAAAAATTTCATTTTAGCCCCTTTTTACTTCCCTAAAAGTTCTGTTTGCCCCCTGAACTTCTGAAAAGTTCATATTGGTCTCCATACTTTAAAAAAAAGTTTCAAGGTCGTGTATGCCAGAGTATATGCCAAGAATGACTACACCAACCTCGTCATCTTCTCAACCCGAAGTTGAAAGTATTCAAAGGACCGGAAAAGATAGTAGTGTTACGTTACACTATCCAATGCTCACGAAGATGAACTACACAGTGTGGGCCATAAAAATGATAGTGAATTTACAAGCACAAGGAGTGTGTGATGTAATTAAAAATGCAGAAAAGGGCGAACGTAAAGATTAAATGGCTCTTACGGCTATTTATCAAGCAATTCCAGAGGACTTACTTCTGATGTTAGCTGAGAAGGACACAGCTAAAGAAGCATGGGAAACGCTTAAGATGATGCACATGCGAGACGATCAGGTCAAGGAGGTTAAAGCTCAAACCTTGAGAAGTGACTTCGAGGTGATACGAATGAAAGAAAGTGAATCGGTAGATGATTTTTGCATGAGATTGAATACTATCATAACTGATATTCGATCTCTAGGTGAAAAGATTGAAGAAATTATGGTTGTGAAGAAGTCTTTGCGAGCCGTACTGATGCGATTTATACAAATCGTAACATCTATCGAGCAATTCGGAGATTTGAAGAATATGACGGTGGAAGAAGTTGTGGGTCGTCTTAAGACCCATGAAGAGAGACTTCGAAGTTATGGAGAAAAAGAAGGAGGACCTTCTCTTACTTACACATGCCGAGTATGTTTCTCGTTCGAATCAAAATGGCAAGAGAAACTTGTCAAATGTTTAAAGAGGACAAAGAGGACATGTTAACCGAGGCCGAGGACAAGGCCGAGGTCGTGGACGTGGCCAAGGAGATGATCATAACTCCAATGTAAATCGGAATAACCACAATCCTTCTCCAAACGATAAAAGTAAAATCAAATGTTTTACTTCTGAACAATTTGGTCATTATGCTTCGGAGTGTCCAAACAAGAATCGAGGTGAGGAGGTAAACCTCACTCAAGCCAACGAAGAAGAGCCTATTTTGACGATGCCAGTATCACAAGAATATGCACACAAAAAGGTGTCTCTAAGAGAGAAGATTTGTGGTAATCTTCTTGAATCCGGAGAAAATCGAGTTGAGTCCGAGGTATGGTATCTCGACAACGGTGCTAGCAATCATATGACCGGAGAACGTTCAAAGTTTCGCGAACTAGATGAGCACATTACGGATCACATGAAATTTGAGGATGGTTTGACCATCGCTATTTTGGGAAAAGGGTTTATTTTATTCGATAGCAAAAATGGCGACCAAAGACTCCTTAATGAGGTATATTTCATTCCAAGCCTAAAAAACAATATTATTAGTCTTAGGCAAATGACGGAGGAATGGAGTCGAGTCATAATGGATGGGTCGGATCTGACATTGTTTGATAGAAACAAACTTGTACTTTTGAGAGTTAA